CATGATTTCTCTTAAAATAAGTGCTACTGTTGGCTAAGGGGAAGGAAACAAATTCAAAATTTTCTAGGACCTACTCAAAAGGTATTATTTTAAAGATTCTATCTGTGTCTACCTATCTGAATTCTTACTACTGTGTCATATTATACTGGAAAGAAAGTTAAAACGTCTAGTAAAGTTTAACATGGTGCTAATTCCATTTTTCATGTGCTGTTTTCCCCCCAGGGAAAGTCTACCATTTTATGATGAGTCTTCAAAGGCATCCAAACACAGGTACAGTAAAATCACTTCTTACCCCTCCAGCCCCCAGCTAGCCACTACTCCCTCTTCCAACCTGGACTGAGGTCTGGGAATTGGGGCTGATCAGTGTTACAGTGATATCTATTTTACTGACTACTTTCAGGTCTTGAGCGTTGGCTATTTGTGTTTGCTTTTGTGCATGGGTATAAATGAAGGAGCAGTGAGGGTTGACCTAAGGGAAGGTATGAAGTACTTGGTGTGGCCTCAACTCCCTTTTTAGTTGCTTCCTTCAACTGTTCCTGGAGTGTTCATCTATCCTCTCCCCTCCCCCACAAAGTCTTGACTTGAAGGACTAATTCTCCTTACCATTGGAGAATGGTAAGGTTTCAAGCTGCTGTTGGAGCAAATTCTGGAAGGGTGTCCTTTCTCAGGCTCTAAATAAATGTGGTCACTTGAGTTGATGTTAATATTGTTTATCAACATGACAGGCAGGAACGTGGTCTTGTCTTCAGAGTGGCGTGAAAAGCCCAACCTGTTTTAAGAGTATAGATTTATTAGCTTTTTGACTTTTTTGACTTGTAATATGGTTTTTTGATCATTAGAATTTGTGATATATTCTCATTCAACATACCTCAATGATCACAGGTGAATTATAATAATTACACACAACCTCCTTGATTTAGACTTAGTCTCCTAAATAGAGAAAGTTAGGTCTCAATTGATTCAAATGAGGAAATGGTAATAATGAGTTTTAGAAAAGCATAATGAAGCATCTGCAAAACACTTAGTACAAATAATGGGCTAAATAATAATGTATCTTAACAGTGCTAGGTATAAATTATAAAAAGATTTGGCAAAAAGAAAACCCCACAATGTTTTATAGTTTTGTTATCTTAATGGAAACCACTTATAGCAAATGACTACAATTTGCATTTTGGTCCCAATGCTATAAAGTGACTTATCAAGAAGTAAGAATGCATTATTTCTCTTAAATTCAGTTTCTGTATTTGTGTTGTAAGCAGCCCACAAACTTTCAAGCAACAAACGTGCAAGTTGAAGAGAAATCATTTTTTTTTTCCTGTAGAAAATCTAAATAATGAACTCTCAAAAATGCAGATATGCCTGCACTCACAAACTTTGCTCCTTTCCCTATGCAGTTTCTCTTCTTCATGGGGCCTAATGATGAAAACCGAAGGAGAACCAGATCTTTTTTAGAATATTAAATGCCAAGGCACATCAATAAATATTAAATAATAAATGCCTAAATGATATTGTACTAGACAGCATTCCATGAGGGAAAAATGATAGGTCAAGCATAGCGCTTGTCCTAAAATAGGTACAGAAGTAAATAACAATACAAGTTAATATAACTTCTAGCTAAAGGCAACAGAGAAGAAATGTCCTTGGGCGATTATAATTTATAATTAATACCCAGTTGAAATCTACAGATAATTTCTTACCAGAATTAAGTCTTGTGGCTGGGTTATTCAGATTTGAATTTCTAGATGTGAGAACCTTATATCCTTGCATTATGTGGAGATACCAGAAGACGAGGTTCGTATTTTTCTGTAAAACAGGCTTCTCTGTTCTGCTGTGTGGCTGAATGACGCTTCTTTTGTCTTGGTAGATGCAGGAGATTGGCTTTATTCCTTTAAGACTTCTCATGTTATTTATTTGATGTCAAGGTATTGCAGGAATGCCCACCCTACCCCCAGCATTTTATTGCCACTGTGAGCCCCTTGGGCAGGATCAGCACTATTTCCCCAGGGTGCTGCTGTCTTCTGCAGATGCTGGCCTGTGCCCCGCCTGCCATCCTTGGAGGGGCAGCAGGGACCCTCATAGAGGCAGACAGGCCTCCCAGGGGTCAGAGATGGGCAGTTGGCAGCCCGTCCCATCCCCAGAGGGCCCGCAATGAAGTGGGACCAGGCAGCAGAGGGGAGGGCAGGGCTGCATCGTAGTGAGCCCGCAGTGGTCTTGGACGTGCGCGAGCACGTCAATGCTGCGGCTGCGCAGGGTGAGCGTCAGCCACGTGACCGGAATGCAGTCGTAGCCCCAGCTCAGCATCCCGGACCAGGAAGGCCCAGAGGTGGAACATGCGCAGAGGGATGCTCACCAGGCACTGGTAGAAGACCGCAGAGGCCGGGAGCACCCCAGTCATGCCACGCATTCGCTGCCGCCTTGGAGCCTGGGCTTGGGAGGTGTCTGATGTGCTTAGTAGCGCTAGTGTGCACGCGGACAGTGCAGTTCTGCCAGATGCAGGTGATAGGCTGGGAGTCCCACCGTTCCTGCGGCTGGAACTCCTTGTTGATAGTCTGAGCTCGGCCTTGGCCTTCTGGAAGGCGTAGAGAAGAGTCACGGTGAGCCAGATGAGGCGGTCGGGGATTGCCAGCTTCAGGAGACGCTCTGTGATGGGTGAGTAGTCCATATTCTTGAAGGGCTTCATGGAGGGGGAAATGGGCTTTTGTGTCTATTGGGTGGAAGCAGGGCCTGATTTGTCTTCGGAAGAGGATACCTGGCTTGCCCCTGGTCCACGTGGCCTGGGTGGGACAGATCTGCCTACAACTCCTGGCCTAAGTCCGTTCAACCTCGATCTTTTGGCAGTATCGGGAAAAAGTGTGCTCTTTCTGCTGGGCTTGCTGAACTGGTGATCTGTGAGCTTGCAGTTGTCATTAATCTCATTCTCACCTTGTTGGGAAGGTCCACTTAATTGTAGTGGACACCAGCGGAGAGGTGGGAGACGTGTTTCCCAGCATATGGACCTCTAGACTGACCCGCTCTTGAACTTGTTAAGTAAATAGTGAACAAATTTCTTTTCAAGTAATCTGGTGTTTAGGGATAGGGTTTCTGTCACTTGCAATTTATCCATTTTAGAACTCTTTCTTTAAAGGTTTAAGGTGGAAATTATGCTCTTACTCGATGAATTATTTTGATGCCCTGTGGGAGACAGACATAATCTTAAATCCTAGAATTTATGTGAGTTCAGTGTGAAATTTTAGATAAGCTGAACACCATTTTAGAAATTTTTTCAAACATTTATATATGGAGTAATTGTGAATAGATGTGTTTTGTATTTCCTACTCAGAAGTGGAAATTTTGTTCAAAACTCCTCACACACTGTAATTCAATCTACTTCTATTGGTGAGAAGTATACAAAACTTATTCTAATAAGCTTATAATTTCTAGTTACACATTTTCAAATCCTCTTTCTCACCCACCTCATTATATATAAACTATTGTGAGAAAATAATTTTCTCAAGCTTAGCATAGATACTTTAGTATTTCTCTTTCTATATTATGCTGATGTGAATATAAGCGCATTAATCCTTTCAAAAGATATTTAAATTATCTAAACTTGCCTGAAAAGGAACATTTTTCAGGAAATGTTTTAATGTCAAAAATAAGTTCGGTATCTTATTTAACAATAGGCATCAACAATGTAACATATTTTTTAGTAAAGAAAGGGAAATACAGTGACTTTAAAATACCTTCATCTGTCGAGCATTTAACAGAGGTTTGATGACTGAATGTTTTATATAGGATTCTACTGTCGATTTATCTTTGAATTTTCTCAAATGAAAAATCTAACTTCAGAAATGTGACTCTGGTCATCCTGGTTAAGTGGCAAAGTGGTTCTGGTAAGCCATTCTGGTAAGGGAGGTAGGGGACAGAGGTTTTTAGGGTCAGGCATTGGATTTTTCTAATTACCGTAATGCAGCCTGTGGTGGTGAATTGGAGGTGGGGTGAGAGGAGACAAAGGGTGAATGAAGTGGAGGCAGCAAAGCTGACCGAGCATTTGAGTACACCGTGTGAGTGCTTATGAACCCATATTGGATTTGGAAACTTTGTTCAAGTGTGCAAGCTTTTACTTGGAAGCCCTGTTTTTATAGAGATGGGAGGGTCACCTGGGTGTCCCAGTTGGTTGAGTGCCTGACTCTTGCTTTCTGCTCAGGTGATGATCCCAGGGTTGTGGGATTGGCCTGTGTGCTAAGGGTGGAGCCTGATTCTCTCTCTCTCCTCTGCCTCTCTCCTGTCCCTCTCTAAAGTAAAGTTTAAAAATGGAAGAATCAGGAGCCTCTAGATTGTTTCCACAGGTGACTTCTAAGAGAAGCTAGGAGCTGGAACAGCTTGGTTTAATCTTCTGGTGGGAGGCCTTCTAGGGAGACATGCTGTTGAAACCATCTTGCGTTGGAAGCTGACCTGCTTAGTGTGGTCTAAAGGCTTGCAACCTATTTAGATGGTTAAATTACAAATTAGCAAAGAATGAATTAAGTAGATAAGGATACATAATTGTAACCTGGAAGAGATCCCCAGAATGTATTTAAGGTTTTTTTTTTTTTTTTTTTTTTTAAGGCATAGGTTGGTTCACTTTTTCTAAACAGACAATTTTAATGGTCAGTTACTCCATTGTTGACTTTGTAATGTTAAAGAACTGTAGTGACTATCAAATAAGTTCATCTTCCTTATATATAGTGCATATTTACTGCACACAGGTAAAATAACTTTGTAAATAATCATAAACAAGAATTTTGGCTCACATTTTTTAAAGCTGCGTCTGTAAATGAAATATTCTTCTCAACTGGCATAAATGGTCCTTTTCAGAAAACAGCAGTCTTCAGGAATGTTACAGGGTGTGGATCCAAGTTTGTGAAAATGACTTCCAATCTAAAAGTGTTATTAGCGCTTTCTTTATATGGACATTTGGATTATTTTCATGCCTTTCAGATCATTGGCTGAGTTGTGTCATAATGGCAAGAATCTTATCAGAGCAGTGGCTTAGATAGCTCAGGATAGAAGGAACAATGCATTGCGTGGCTTAAAAAAATCACATGGAGACATTCAGTGTATTCAAGATTTCTTCTTAAGGTTTTAGCATTTCAGCACCTGTTGTGCACTGATTCATATTCTGACAGTCATATTAGGACCTACATCTTTTTTTTTTTTCCTGCTTAAAGCCTAAGAAATGGTAGTTACATAGCAAAATTGGAAAGCTAAAATTTTCCGCTAAATTGGCAACACTATTGGTTAGA